GAAGATCTATTGGTTTGGATCACAGTATATCTTAGGGATCCTTAAACTAAGCAGAAACCTTCCTTCCATCTTTTGGGATCTTTTGTGACACAAGCCACAGGAACAGACTACCCAGCCCACGCTGTCTTTACCAGGTGCAGATTTCCTTGCACAGAGGAGATGAAAAACCAAGCTCCCCCAAATTAATGCTGAGCAAAAAGCACTGCTGCTGAGCTGCCGAGATGTGCAAGAGATGTAGCAGCAACACAGGAAAAAAAAAGTCAGTGAGAGGCAAGGAAAGGCTGTCTCGGGGTGCTGTGGTGTGTACACACATGTCAGAAGCTGCAGGAGCTACAGAAGGTATCACGGGAAGCACAGAAAGGAAAGAAGGTATCACGACAAGCAGACAGGAAAAGAGTAACTAAAAGAGCACAAGATGCGTCCCACCCTCCTCATGAATATTTGCATTCTGGCCATTGTAAGGCCTGAAACTCGAGGAATTGCCCTGATTATCTGTGTAAAAACCCATCCAAATTCAGCCAAGCCCTTAGGAAAACAATTTGCCTCACAGGCGCCTGCTAACGACCCCCCAAAAACGTAACAGTGCTTCTCAAAGACTCCACCTATGCTGAGCAAGTGTTAACACAAAACTCTTAAGGTGAAGACTCACATGCAATAGCAAGGCAAGAGCAACATGCCGTAGGGTAAATGAAGCCATCCTGAATAAACTAAATGCAGGAGCCATCATCCTTATCCCTGTGCCCATCCCAGAGCTGCAGGTGAGCAGCCAGAGGCAGCAGCCAGCAATTGGACCTGGCCGCTGCTCAAACTCCTGACAATTCCCTTCTCCTGGACAGTACGGGACAGCAAAATGTTCCCTGAGCTGAAGCAGCACACAACTGGAGGTATTCTAAAAGAAAAAAAACTTATTTTACATCCTAATTTGTGCATCCGTTACCAAGGACCATTCATCACTTAACACTGTGCCTTCCTTCCTCTGAGAAAAGCATCAAAAGCTACAAAAGAACGAAGACAGAGTGAAGTCAGTGTGACTTTCTACCTAAAGTACCTTTTACACTATTTTAAGTATTTGCTTTGTATTAGCCTTTAACATAAAGCAAAATGACTCTTCCTCGGATAGGGTAGTAGAAATTAAATATCAATTACAACGAGAACACTTCAAGTAAATTATTAAATCAATTTGAAATACACTTCTCAAAACTCTTTCAAAATGTTTATTTTTTACATCTCATTTAAACTGCAATCCATTACCAAAGCAATCATCTATTATTTGACCACATATTCCTGAGGTTCCTTTTCTGCAGTGTAACAGACAAATCGCTTTTGACACAAACACAGCTTGAAGCTCAAGGCATTAATGCAGAAATACAAAGAAATAAGCTATGAAAACACAGCTGTATCGTACCCAGCCATTCTAAAGCTGTACGGCAAACGCACAAAGCTAACAATCTACTATGGGTATATTAAAAAACTGCTAGCTAAAGACAATCTAACTTCATTTTTCAGGTACCATCACTTAGAAGCTACAATAGAAATATCTGGTATATAGTCTGCAGAGATAGCTGATAGACATTTGATAGAGAATCTCGATAAAACAAGAGGAAATGTTTGCTTTGAATGACTATAAGGTTGCAGCTCCTGTGTCACTGGACTAGAAATAACATTCCTTACAAATACTGGTATCACTCTACATATGATGGCAAAAACAATTCTCTGATAGCACAAAATGAAACCTTAGAATTTTAAAAGTTAAGTAGAGCTGCTCAACCGCAGCCATGCATTGACAAAAAAATCTAAACTTCCACGGAAGTCACATCATTTTTTGTGGATGAAAAAAAACCACAAATAAGCCTTTATCAGAGAACAAAACAAAAATCTTTGCATTATTGCAGGCCATTTTTCTAGAGGAGCAGCTTCTCGTTATCCCGTTCTATTAGAAGTTCTACAGGAAAAAAAAAAAGAAGGGAGCGACAATAGTAAAAAAAAAACAAAACAAAAACACAAAAGAAAAAGACAAAAAATAATAAAAAAAGACAAAAAGAGGTTAAAATGCTTTTGCATTTTGGCGAGGTGAGCGGGACGCAGTTAAAGAGCTGGATTTCAGAAGGCCGGAAGGTGCCAGGACCTTCTCCGTGCCGTGCGAGCGCGGCCA